TAAGCAATGTAGCGTTAGCTTCAAAGGAAATGAATCTCATAGAAAAGACAAAGCGTTATAATTGATATATTATGATGTTTGTGGCCCTGTTGATGTCAAATCTCTTAGTGGAGTTTATTATTTTATCACCTTTTAGAATATTATTCCAAAAAGTATTGGTTTTATCTTTGGCATTTAATAATTAAGTTTTTTATGTTTACAAAATTTTCAAGGCCAAGGTTGAAAAGAAATCGAGAGATTTATTAAATGTCTGCAAATTGATACTGGTTGTGAATATTGATGGAATATTTTTGATGTTTTTTATAAAGAGAATGACATTTGCAGAGTAAAGACTATTCCTAAAACACCACAACATAATATTGTCATTGAGATGATGAATAGGATCATCACTGAACCTGTAAGAAATATTCTTTCATAATAAGGTTTTGGCAAACAATTTTGGGATAAAATTGCTAATACAACTGTATATTTGACCAAGATATCTTCCAGTGCACCCTTAAGTGGTTAAATACCTAAAATTATTTGAAGAAATAAAAGTGTGTGATATGATCACCTGAGAACATTTGGATATGAAGCTTATGTTCAAATACGTACTAAAAGTAGAATTAAGCTGGATGCCAAGTCAATAAAATGTACTTTTATTGGGTATAATGGTGATGTTAGAGGCTATAGGCTTCAGATCCTATCGCAAAGAACAACATAAGGAGCAAGGATGTTCTCTTTTGAGAATGAGATATTTGCTAAAAAAAAAACAAGAAGAGCAAAAGAAAGAGAGACTTGATGTAGATAAGCAAGCTCGATATCCCATTGTTTCACCTTGACAAATATAAGAAACTCAAACTCAAGCTCCAGATGATGTAGATCGAGGTGATGTTAGCTATGAATAAGATAATGAATCGATTGAAAATGAAGGTCTACCGGTTACAACTGTGTAAGAATTGAGAAGATCACATGCCCTGACAAGTCACACAAAGTTACTCGCATTCCTTTTTGTATACTGATGGTGGTGAACCTGAGTCTTTTTAGGAGGGCTATTTATTGCCTTAATGCTCAAAAATAGCATCAATGGAGGAGGAGATTGATGCTTTACACCACAATAATACATGGAAGTTGATGGAACTTCTACATGAGAAGAAAGCATTGAAGAATATGTGGGTGTATGCAATGAAGTGGTTGGCAAATGATCTTATGCGATTTAACGTTAGACTTGTGGCGATAATGCTGCCTTCTTGCATAGTGATCTTAAAGAATAAATATATATGTGTCAGCCTGAAGTTTTTTAGGGCACAACCAATTCACTTGAAAAAGGGATTACATGGTTTGAAGCAAGCATATAGGCAATGACGTATGAATTTTGACAGTTTTATGCAGGGTGAAGGATCTACTAGTTAGGAATTTGATCTTTGTGCATATTTTAATGGATCAAAATGTGGTTCTTTTACTGTTTTCTTGCTTTATATTAATGATATACTTATTACTAGCAATGAGATGAAAGAGATCAAGTGTTAGCATGTCTAGTCATTTTGCCACTAAGGATTTTGGACCAGCCAAGAAGATATAAGGCATGCACATCAATAGACATAGAAAGGAACGTAGACTTTGGTTAAGACAATTTGAATATGTTTCTAGGAAGTTGTTTCTACACCATGGGTTGCATATTTTAAGTTGTCTAAAAATTACTCTCCAGTGAGTGAGGTAAATAAAAGTAAAATGAAGAATGTTCCATATATTTCTACAGTGGGTAGTTTGATGTCTGCAATGGCTCGTATTAGACTTGATATTGCCCATGCAATAGCAATTATTTCTAGATATATGTATAATCCTGATTGGGAACATGGGCAAACAGTGAAGTGGATCCTTTGGTATTTAAAGGGGACACAAATTATACGTTTGTGCTTTAGAAAATCATCATTGGAATTTGGTTTTGTACATATAGATGATGCAGGGTGCTATGACATTAGAAGATCCTTTATTGGCTACATTTTCAAGGTTGGTGGTGATGCAATTAGTTGTATGTCAAGGTTATAAGATATTGTTGCATTGTCATCAACTGAAGTTGAGTATGTGGTATTAACAAATGCAACAAAAGAAATGATCTGGTTAATGAAGTCGCTTGACCAATTTGGGGTGAGACAAGAGAACTATGTTTTGCATTATGATAATCAAAGTGCAGTTTATCTTGTTAATAATGCAGCTTATCATTCTAAAATAAAATACCTAGAGTTCATATACCATTTAATTAGGTTGGCCCATGAACGTGGAGATCTACAGGTGGACAATATCCATATGGAAAAGAAACTTGCTGATATGTTAACAAATATTGTTTCAACTTAGAAGAATAAGATGTGTAGAAGGCTTACAGCGTCGGAAGAGACAATCCTGTGGGGATGGAGAATGATGCATTTGTGTTTATTTTAGAGACGTAGTAATTTGTCTTCACGTAGAAGTTTGTTATATGTGTGAAGCCAAATCACACATGTGGGTTTGGGGGCTTCATATGTTTATATTTTCCTTTCAACTTTTTTTCCTTATTTCTAGGTTATTGAATTGGTTTTGATCCAAGGGTTGTGGTGCATTGAGAGTCCCATATTAAAAGGATTTTGTTTTCTTTGTTTTAGTATGAACAAGAAGAGAGGAGGTGAGCTCCCATAGTTTTATGCCTTGTTTTTGCCCTACTTTCTAGTTAGAGAGAGAGAGTGGAGAGAAAGAGAGTTCTCTTGTGGATGTGTTATATCTTATGTTTCAAAGAGAGAGATAGTAAGGAAGAAGAGCCCATGAGATTGCATTTTGCTAGCTGTGTTGGAAATGAGACTTTATAGAGACTGACATTTGAATTAATGATAAATCGTACGTTACCGTTAAAAAAAAAAAGATTTATAGAGAATGAGCCCTTTCTTTGACAGTTTTTGGGCCTTGTTTCTCATTGTAATCTCCATTGAATCAAGTCATGACTCGCACTATTATCTCGTAAATGTAACTCACGATTTGTGGCTTAACCAAATTAAATATTGTGCGGATTAGATGCACAATAATTGTTTATGTTTAAAACTTCTTGTTGTTTTTCCACCATAACAATTCAAACACCCAAACCACATCTTCTATCAAGATTTGGGGGTGGCCCTTTGATTATCTAAGGCTGACAACTTATACAAACACCAACCAACTTTTAAATCTTAAGCGAATATTACTTTTTGGGCAGTAAATCTTAAAAGAATATTTCAAATCTACTCTTATTCTATAACTCAAATTCGGGACATCTATATGGACAGAATGACCAGTAGGTCTAATTTGAAATAAGAGATATTTTGAGCCTCAACTCAGGACTAACACTCCGAATATTATATTCTCAAATTAGAAAAACAGAAGGAAAATTATATTCAATCGAAAGATCAACTATTTAACATTCCTCCATATGCATTGATATATTTTCAAATAGCCTATCAAATTTGATCTAATTTCAAATGGTCTTGTCAAATATGACATAGCATTATAAATTGGAAAAAGTTTACATAAGGTTACAACCTTAAAATATAGAATTAAAGATGCAGCTCAAAAATCCATCATAAAAGGTTGTTTGGATGTTGGAAAACCCTCTAATTGATCATCTCGACATCGAGATGTATGAATATGAAAAGAAAAGGAGATTTCGAGTCCATGAATAGTGTATATTGCAAAACATTATCTGGACCGTCTATTTTCAAGATTTTCATGTGTTTATAGATCTATTTGATGTGAACCATTTTTAGAGTTTAAAATTTTATAATTAGAGATGAAAATAGATTCTCAAGCCATCTTAATAACTTTTGATATCAAAATTATATTTAAGTTAAAATTTAGAGGTGCTCCTTAATTGGATTGTTTAAAGTTGCCACCTCATGCAAACCACACCCTTATAAATTCTAAGATTCATGAAATTACACTTATTAACATGATGTTAAATAATTATATTGTTAAGTGTCATTTGCTAAATTTACGGACCAAGAAGTAGGGGTGGCAATGGACCCGGGACCCAACCTGGGAGTTGAGGGGTAGATCCGATCTGGGTCCAAGTAAGGGTTACAAAATTGGACCCGTTGGGTCGAGTCTGTGTCCAAATCTTGAATCTGAATACTATTTGGATATGAGTCCATTAATATTTTTCGAATCCTAATATATAAAATATATTTAAATATAATTATACCCATTGCCACCCCTGCCAAGAAGGCAAGAACTCCTTTTTAAAGGGGGTTCTTGGCCCGGTGATGAGGCTAGGCGGAGTTAGAACGTGACCTCCCAATTCCAAGTTTCCAATATTTTTGTTTGAGAAATTGCTAAAAACCCCCAAATATATACTTTTTAGGTACTCTACCCCCACCCAAAACTTTTTTCACTTATTTTTCTCAAAAACCATATTTTATAACTAATACCCCTAACTCAAAAAGTTATATCTTTTTTGATGAAAATACCCTCCCTTCACATGACGTCATTTTCGGATTCCAATAAAAGGAAACACATCTTTTTTTGACAAAAATACCCTCCTTTCACATGACAAATCATTTTCGGATCATAATAAAAGGAAATGCCGGACCGCATTTGTACAATGCCAGACTGAGCGTACTTCAAAATGCCGGACTGCCCCTACAAAATTTCAGACTACCATATCAAAACACCGGACTGTCCCTTCAAAATGCCGGACGGCAACTTCAAAATACCAGACCGTAACTTCCAAATGCCGGACTGCCCATTCCAGCAAAAAAATAATCGTCGGACAGCCACCATGAAATATCGGACTGTCCATTGCAGTAAAAACAAATCACGCTTGTTCAAAATGCCGGACTGCCCTCTCTAAGGAAAATAATTTCTTATGTGAGGGAAGGGTATTTTTGTTCAGTGAACCTTTTATGTAGGGGGTTATCAAGAAAACATCTGGGGGAGAGTTGTAGGGAGGTTGGGTGAGGTGTAAAGTGGGTAAAATGTCCCAACAATAAAGTAGAAGAATGGGACAGTATTCAAATCCTATAATCCAAAGCTTGAGACGTGAGCCGTCCATTTATTTCGAACGTAGACTGAGTGACCTACGCTAACCTATAAGTAACACCCACTTTTGAAATTTGGGGTGAACCAAGATCGATCTCTCTCTCTCTTCGGAGGAAAAGGTAAGCCCTCAGATCCAAAGTCCCCATCTCTCTCTCTCTCTCTCTCTCTCTGCTATTGGTTATTATTTATTTGTGGAAATGGCGGCTGTCGATTCTCTGGGTTGAGCGACACTTTCCATCACTTGGTTCTTTGAGAGCAAAAATATATAAGTTTTTTATTTGCATTATTATGATGTATTTAATGGTTTATATGCTGTTTGTTTGCTTTTCCATCTGTAGAAATTATTGTAAGAAAAAAATTGGAACAGTTGAAAATTGTGATTTTTATTTTGTCTATGGTCCAATTATAGGGTATGTGGCAGAAACCAGTAATAATAATGATGTAATGCAAGTATGCAACAACAATAACTCTTTTGATCATGCCTATAGAACGAGAGTCATCTTCCAGCCATTTCTTTTCTTCCTTTTCTGAATGTCTCTCTGCCACCATTATGTGATTGATTTGAAAAATTTTAAGCAGTAGTTTAAAGCTCGGCTCTGGCCATTGACTCTGCCATAGCCTGAGCGGAGTTTGGACTTGCCCGAGTCAAGCCTGCATCCTAAGTGGGCTCAGGAAAATATAAAAGAGGGAAAATACCTGAAAAATAGAAAAGTTATAACTTTTTTTATTTGCATTTTTTGTGTTATGAATTCCAATTTGTGTTTAAATACGTAAATGGAGCAAAAAATGCATACACAATGACTTTGAAACAAATGTTTTGAAATTCAAGCTCATAGAGTACATATGTCTATGAAATGTAGTTTTATCTCACATATATCAGCCCAACACAACAAAATACAAGATTAATTTTGAGAGAATAGGAGTGTCAGTGGGGTTCGGGATATTCATTGGTCTTGCTATCAGAAGGGGGGGGGGGGCTGCCAAAAATCTATGAGCTAGATGGAGCGGTACCTATTCCAACTATGCCCTCGTGCCACATAGGAACGTTCGTTGAATTGGTCCCTAAGCTATAGTCACTAAGACTCGTCCAGCGTTAATGCTCCCCCCACCTTGGCTAGGGGTCCTTCCATCATCAAAATTGCTATGATTCTCAACACCCTGGTTGGGTAGCTGGCCATGGCGTTGGCTCAATCGCTGGTTACGTCGCTTACCAGATGGGCTATGCTATCCAATAGCTAAACCTCTCTCTCTTGGCCTATGACCGACCATCTCAGTCCTCCTCAGTGGAGCTCCTACCACCATGTGCTTCCCCACCCCCCCAAAAAAAAAAAAAGTCTCTCTTGCACGTCCTTGTGGTTGGTCCCTTCTACTTCCATTTATCAGGATCATTTGCAACCTCTTTTTCTAGGGCCCTCTAGTTTACTACTGGTTGCCCCTACTTCACTACCCATTCCTCTGTAGGGTCCTCTTGAATAGGTAGTTGAGGTTGATCGAGTTATACTTAGTGGCCTTCCTCTTTAGTTGCCTCTTCCTCAAGTCAAGATTATAGTGGACATGGACTAAGTTTTTCAGCCTCCGTTTTCAATATGTTCCTCCTCGGAGCATGAATCCACTAGAATGTAGTCCACTTTCTCTCACACTCTATGGCAGGATATGTGAGTTCTATCTTTTGCAAGTGGGGGGTTCGAAGTCCTTACCACTATTTTGCTGAAAGGAAATAAGAAGAAAGATTAATCTGTTGATTAAAAGTTAGAAATGCAACCATACATATTAGTTATGTTAGAAAAAACTGACTCATGAAATTTGTTGGCCAACTGGCTCTAATTCATCTCATGTACTTCTAGCCATGTTGGTCTCAAAATCACCTTGAGCATCTACGGTACATAGAAAGCTAAAAAAGGAAATTCGACATATAAATCTGGTGATATTTTTTGCCCGCTTATTACAACTACTCACCTTCCTCAACTTCTCCACAGCTTCCATCATGAGATTTATACATTGAGCATCACATGGGCTCCAAATTAAATGTTGTCTCTTTTTTATAAGCAGCCTCTCTGCCTTTATGTAACTTTTATGATTATTTGTAATTAATTGGACCTCATTTGCTTCCCTAATATCTTATACTACTTTATCAAACTTCCTAAATAGGAGTTTTGTGGTCTTCTTTTATTGGCATAGATCTACACTAGAATGGAGAAAAGTCCCTTTAGGGTAATAGATCAAGAAATTCACTATGTACCTACCTGGCCTATTTTGCCAACCATTTGACATAATTGTCAACCCAGTTGCCTACCATGGCTGCTTTAAATCTTGAAAGAATAAATCTATTTCAACCACCCATCATCTAGGCATTTCTCTGTAAGCTTACTTGTCATTGGGCCTGGCTTCAACTATTGTTGTTTCATAGATTAATAACATTCTGAATTAGCTGTGTGGAATGGAATGGCACTATCAAACCACCACCTTGCAATTGCCCTCTTCATCTTATCCTTGAGTCTTTGTTCTCATGAGAGATTAAAGGTTGTCTGGCAATATTGGGCCTATGGGGGTCACCTCTGTGATATTGGGCCTGTGGGGGTCACCTCTGTGATATTGGGCCTATTGGGGTGAAGTCTAAAGGGCTTTGTGGCTTGGGGTGGGGGTCAGGGTGATCAGGGTCCGGGTGGAGATCGGGGATGGGGGTTAGGTTCGGGTTGGTAAGTAGTAGACCGCCAGGATTCAGTAGAAGGTCGGGATGAGAATCACCGTCTCAATTTAGAAAAAGTAGACCTAAGGAACCTCGACCAACAACCTCCCATACCAGGCACTATAATTTGGGAGGTACTTCAGGAGCGCGACTGCTAGATGCTTTTGCATGTCTAGCAAACATCCCATCAATCTGCATCTGTCTCTCTTGAATGTCTACTAGACTAGCGAGCCTAGCCTGCTCCATCTGGGCCTCATACTCTACATCCTCATCATCTCTAGTGGGTGCATAATATTCTTTTTCCATCTCCTTAATAATCCCTTTTGCCGCCTCCATTTCTTTCTAGATCTGCTCGTTAACTGCCACATGCACTTTGACACATGGCTGAATACTAACCTAAATTTTGTTAAGTGATGTTTCATTCGATTAATGTTGCCTATCATCTCTCTCCCATAGAAGTTACACCATACCCACCCCTTCCCCTTCTCAGGCAACTTCTCCCCATGCTAAATCGTCCCTCATTATCTCATAGTCCTACAATAGGACATATACACAAATAAACCCCTGATGTCAAATTTTATACATATAGGCTCCCTATAATTTTTTTATTCACACCATTAACCCTTCTATTTTTTTTAGCTACCTCTCCAAAAGAGGAAATATGGTACCTCATTTCTAAATGTTTTTTTAGAGGTTGAGGTCGGTATGGCACTCCAAGTGTTGGATTGGCCTTGTTTCTAATTTTTTTTTTAGGGGTCCAAGGCCAGTCTCGCACTCCAAGTGTTGGATTGACCTCCTTTCTAACTTTTTTTGGAGGCCGAGGCCTAAATTGCGGGGGAATTTTTGTCCCTAATCACCTAAATTCTTGATTGGGAGTCTATGCCCCCCCCTTCCCACACACGCACACACACACAAAAAAAAAAAAAGTGATAAGGAAATTGGTGTTAATAAAAAAAAATATCAGCTGGTAATGGGTATCAAAAACTATAAAATTTACATGATTGTTCAAACCAAAGGTAATTGATATTATTGTAGAAAAAATGGTTCCCAGAGGAAAAAATTAAAATATGATATTAGAATTTATACATTTTTTTTGCATATTTAACCCATTTCGCAATAAAATCCACAATAAAAATTCTTATTCATTATGGAATTAATTATTATGGTACTTTATTGTGGAACTAATTCACAATATGCATTTCTGCTTATTTGTCTAAACCAAAGGTAATTCTATTTTTTTATTATAAATTTAACCCATTTCATAATTAAATTCAT